CTTGCAGATTTCTTATATTTTTTCTTCTACCCTGAAGATGGAGGCGATACGTTCCTCCGAAACGTCGGTTAACACCACATATACACGGTGCCAAATCCCAGAAGACTGCTTTCTTCAAAATAATAACATATTCATAAAGAATTCTGGAGACAAGAAAAGTCAAGTAGTTACTATAGGATTCTGACGATGGTTTATAACACACAGAGATATTGGGTTTTTGGACTTTATCCATCATCCTGGTTTTAAGATAACTAAGAAAAACACGACGTTTCGAAAACTGGATCTGTTTCCATCCTCAGGTGAGGGAAAACACCTATTCTGTTGGGTCCCTTAGAAAGAGCTAGCCTCAATCACTGGATGAAAAGCCAATCTTAAAAATGTTCATTTCCTGCCAAGATCATTTTAGCCTACTTTCCTTAAAAGAAAAACTAAAAGTTGGCTTATAAGATTACCATGTATGGGTGGCTGTGTCCCCAGTTAGCACTTTGGAACCAGTTGACTGACATTCACAAAACTCAGTATGATTGTTATATCACTGCAGGTTACTGCCATACCTTCAGGTTCTCTACCATCTAAAAACATGGTGAACTCTCAAGCTTATGAGGTGAGAGTGACGCTAGTTACAAGTACCTTAGGATCCTGAAATAATGTATGGTAACAGGTCTTGAAAATATGGGCAAGTTTCATTGTGATACTTTTACAGGCTACAAAATGATAACATGACAGCAATGCAAACATTTTCTTTAGCTTGTGGTTTGATGGCAATAATTAATGAATCACAGGAGCCAGGCATGTGAAATTTGGTATGGAAATAATCATAAACATACCTATACATCACGTATGAAATCATATTTGTATTTCAGCAATTATAAACATGGTGATTATGCAAAATTCTGAGGTTATGTATAATGTAACAATGTCAGTGAACAAGATCTGTACTTCAGTAATACAGTCTTCACAAGAATTAAATTAAATGGCAATAACAGTACAGAAACAGATCTACAGGGCTAGAAATCTATGTCTGTGGGCTTTATGTGTTGTGTTTGAACTCCATGTCACCTTCTTACAACACATATTGTAGTCATAAACACAGCAGAATCTTCGTACTGAATTTTCTCAGTTTCACACTTACATCTGAAGCACATGCAGATGTATTTTCATGTCTCATTACAGAAGGATGATAACATGTACAGTGCTGTTCTCATAAGCCAAACAAAGTACTATTTAAGATTTGAGGCTTTCACGGCGGTGACTATGAAGAAAGCAGTTTTCTGGGATTTGGCACCGTGTATATGTGGTGTTAACCGACGTTTCGGAGGAATGTATCGCCTATCACAGTCTGCTTTTACCGGTTCTCACGGTCTCTTCGCTTGCAGATTTCTTATATTTTTTTTTCTTCTACGCTGAAGATGGAGGCGATATGTTCCTCCGAAACGTCGGTTAACACCACATATACATGGTGCCAAATCCCAGAAAACTGCCTTCTTCAAAGTACTATTTAATTAAATTAAATCAGCCAAAGTTCTCTTGCACAAGACACATCACTAGTTTGAAAACTAAACCCAAAAACAATACATTACCACAGACACTTCTGAGTTCACTGGTATGCTGAACAAATTTTGTTCTGAAGTATCATCTGGCTTAGGAAGTGAAAGAAAATGTTTCAAATTATAAAATTTCATGAAGATATGCCTAAACGTTTTAACTACTGTCAATCATATATACTTGTCTAACTAACTTGTGCATAATTTTACACTTTATATAGGTTTTAACACAATGATAAAACCTGTTATTCTATTGAGATATTTGATAACAACATCATACAATACAGATCCATACTGAGATAACCAATTTAACAAGCAACTTAGTTTAGAGTTCTTATAGGATGCCTAATGATGACCTATACATAGGTTGAAATATGTAGCACAAGTTTTATGCATATAATAAGTGAGGTACAGATTAACATAGGGCACATGGTAGTGTAGTTGGTTGAGGCACTATGCTACAAGCTGGAAGGTCACAGAATCGAATCCTGATGAGGTGGATTTTTTCAATTGACCTAATCCTTCCAGCCACACTATGGCTCTGGGGTCGACTCAGCCTCTAACAGAAATGTGTATCAGGAATATTCCTGGGGGTAAAGGGCAGCCAGCACACAAGGCTGGCAACCTCACTGCCATCTGTGAGCCGACTGTCTAGAAAATGTGGGATCCTCAACATCTCACAACCCTATGGACCTTCATGGCCTGTTACAGGGATACCTTTACTTTACAGATTAACTTATGCTTGTCTTCACTTGAATATGATCCTGTGTTTGTTGTGTTGACTGTCACTTTCTTGGATAATATACCTTGCATCCCCAGCTGGTAAATTCTTAAAATCGTAGCTGATTTTTATTGAGATCAGTTTCATAAATTCTCTTCTGATGAAGAAAACAATAGGATAATCTATCTTTCCAGGAATACATGTAACAATTACTTTGTAAAGCAGGAAACAAAATTTATTTAAACAATTCTTTAAGCAAGCGATTAATTGAGTCAAACCAACAATCTACAGAGGTACTACTCACAGTGGATGATTGTCAGCAAACCACACTCCAATCCCTGCCCTAGCTCCAACTCTGCCATTGTTTTCACATGCTCCATCAGTGTACACATGCACATATCCGTTTTCATCAGTGTCAAATCCTGGAGAAGTATTGTTTTTTGAATTCTTTTCATCATCTGAATCAGGTGGTTCAACTATCAGAGTTTTTGAAGGTCCTGCTCCTTTATCAGATGCAATGTATTTTCTCTTGGCAGTTTTAGTGTCAGCACAGCCTTCTGTGCTATATGACCTGTGGGATACAGAACATGACAGGATTCAAGACACATCATCCAAGCCCTCAGAGACAGGTTCCTTCACCCTACACAGAAAGTCAAGTCTGCTACTAGAGAAAATTTCCAAAAACCATACATACACAAGGTCTCTAAAGAGGAAATATGCTCATATGATCTTTGCATTTATGTTACTTTACATACCTTTTAGCTGTGGTACTTGGCCCAACTGCCTCCAAGACTGAAGTGAGGTTCCTTTTGAAGGAAAGAGAATTACTTCCAGCACATGCTCCTTCTTCTGAATTTGTCTTGGTCTGTCCCTCTTCTGTTTCAAGCTCTCTGACTGCTTGCTTCAAGCTACTTATTTCAGCCTTAAGTTCTGTAATAGAATCTGTATAATGTTTTGCTAACTGTGAAAGACCGTCCTGTAGTACTTTTAACTCTTCAGTCATGTATCCCTCATCACCTGTCTTGTTGTTTGATCGTACATTAACTTTGGTATCAAATGTCTCAATACGTTCCTTGAATGTATCTATTTCAGTACGAAGTTCTTCCATAGAAACTTCAAACTTTTTCTGTAGAACTGACAAACGTTGTTTAAGTGCACTTGTTTTTAGTTGTAGAGATGACATGTTAGGAACCTCAGAAATCCCAGGTGCACTTTGCATTACATCGGTAGTATTCATTATCAACTGCTGTGACACATTTTCTCCACTTTTTTCCACATGTGTATGTTGTGTCTTATTTCCTAAATCACCTTCCCCGTATTTATTAACAAAATTAATTGCTTCTGTTTCCGTACTGAACTTATGGAACTTGGCATCACTAAACTTTAACACCTGTGCCTGGCATTCGGGCCTATAAAAAGATGCATTTCATTTCATTAACATACTGACAACTTTCATTTATTAACTGAAAAGCTCAGGGCAACAAAGTCCTATGCCATAGATAAAAAGTTTTCAGATAATATTTTAACTTGTAAATAAATTTGTAACTCATATTTTGGATTAGAAGTATAAAACAATTAATACAGTTTTAAGATCAGACTTTTAAGATTTAATTATGTAGTTATTAAAACCAGACTCTGTATATCTCACTTAAACAAGAAACCCACAAGAGCATCAACATTTGGCTATGGCTTAGCACCATGTTCCTACTGGGTCAAAGTACAAAGTAGAAATAACTAAAAATAAAAGGAACTTAGGATAACATAATTTTATTACTTGCTCAGCTTCTACACACACTTTCAATGACCTCTCAATTTTGCAATGGTTCTGTCAGTGCAACAGAAGTTACCACTCCACCTCCCTTGTACCAAGAACTCTTTTCTTTTCTTACACCCATACAGTTAGTTCTAGCAAGAGAAGGCCTCTTTCTTCAGTTTACAAAAACTCCACTTTTTTAAAATGACTCACAGTTATGAATTCACCATCTTAACAAACTCTTCATTATTGCCTTTACTAACCATAGTTGCAATGGCAGCATAAACTTCAACAAGTCGTACACATCCGTCACCTTCTTAGCATTTCAAGCAACTGCAACATTTACTTTCTAGCTTGACATCTGTAGGTCTTCCTCATTTCGGGCCATCATGATCATCTCAATTTCACTGCATATTTCTTCTGAGAACATGAATGTCTTATAAACAGTGAGAAGTCTTCCTGGGAAGTTTCAACCACAAAGCATCAATTCTTGTGTGTTATTCTTTAATATAATATATTTTCACTAACCAGATGTATGTGCATTTCAACTACAAGTTTTCTTGTATGGAAGACTTAACAGAACTGAATAAGTATGCAGTTCACTCACAGATGTTATTTAAATCCTTAAATGTGTCAAAAAGGCTTGCCTCACTGCCATTGAGCATGCTTCTGCACTTATTTTCATACATGCATGGTCAACCCAGCTGAAATTACACATGGAATAATACTCTTCCCTGCTGTCAACTCATGTAAAGCACATCCTTGTTTCTTCTTTCATTCTTGAATCATTACACTGCCAACATTTTTCTCTATCCATTTTCCCTTATTCTATGCAGGGGTACAGATATTTCCCCAAGTCATGTAAGGTAAAGGTAAAGTTGTCCATGCCATGAAGATGCATGGTAGAGTGGATGTATAGGTCCACATTTTCTTGACCTTGGCACTAGTTGGAAGTGAGTGGTCATGCACCGGCTGCTCTACCCCCGTGGAAAGAGCCCCATGTACACGCTGGATAGGAGGCTGGGTGGGCCCTATAGCCAGTTTGGATGACATGGAGAAGAGAAAATTCTTGACCCTACCAGGACTCAAACTCTGACCCCTCTGTCATCCAGCCCATAGCCAGTCACTACACCAACTGCGCTCTCCTGGTTCCTCCAAGTGATGTACTCCTGTTAATAAACATATACATCACTTTAAAGCAAGCAAACAGTAACTTCAATTAAAGTAATTTTGGTAAGAACAAAACAGTGCCAAGCCCATCTAGCTAAAAGTAAAATAAATTAATTTAATAAGCACTTCTCACTGAATGGATGATAATATCCCATAAAATATTATGCCGTTATCTAATGCAGTCCAAATAATTTATTTGCTCACAAAGTATCGCCTTATTTGGCATACATTGCCTGCAGCATTGAAGGTTGTGTCCAGTTCTAAACCATTATTAATGAAAGCTTGATGATGATGTACAAAAATCTTCTTTTTTTTTTCACTTGGAACATTCTTCTCCATTGATTGTCAAAGTACCACAAACATGTTCACTACATGACATGTTTAACTTCAAAATTTTCTTATAACTTTGGACTGATGCATCAGATCCGATCTTTATATAATTTCTTTATTAAAACTATCACAACACAACAATATTAAGGTCAGTGCCTAGTTTGGGTCTGCGACATGTTTCGGCTATTAATTGCCATCATCAGGCAAATACACGGCTAATATATATACACCACTGACCTGCAGTACTAATAAAATTGGATACAATAATATTAATTATATTAAAATACTTGACATAAAAATACAATAAATTGGATTATATAAAACAAAAGTTATAATATAAAACAAGAATAAAATTGTAAGATTTGAGTATTTCATGGCGGTGACTATGAAGAAAGCAGTCTTCTGGGATTTGGCACCATGTATATGTGGTGTTAACCGACGTTTCGGAGGAACGTATCGCCCCCATCTTCAGGGTAGAAGAAAAAGTATAAGAATTCTGCAAGCGACAACACAGTCTGCTTTACCGTTTCTCACGGTGNGGTTGTATATTATAACACAACAGGGTGCATGAAATGAAAATTATAAATGCTAGATCCCATCTTGTTAAATATCGCACAAAGAATCATCTTGATGCAGCCACTACATTCATGTGATCAAACACAACCATATCATTAAGTATGTGATGTAATCTGTAACGATTTGACAGAACTAATGTATGTTGCTAAAAGTGCTGCCAGAAAACTCTAGTTACTTCTCCACTTTCCTCAAATAAGGCAGTATAACACTTCATTACCCCTAGCTGTTTAATTATTTGCAAGTATATCTTTGTTCCTTACACTTAAAGTTTAAATCTTTACAAAATACATCAGATTAGGCTAATGCCAAATAAGATGATCTTCGAAACATAACACAAATAAGCAATCATAATTCAGTAATCCCCCAACATAAAACATAATAGACTAGGAACCATACAACAAAGTATGTTGTATCTCAATGCCAGCAACAACACATTCTTGTAGTGTATACTTTTCCCGGAATATGGCCCTGAAAACCACACCATGGACATAATGGCGAATCTGGTATGGCCACTAACATATTTTATGTAAAGTTGAAGTTTAATTTTAAAATTTTGGTTTGCTTTATTCAGTGCATTGAGAGTTGTGGGTAATCAATACAATTAGAGTGAATTTTAAAGTTCCATCAACTAACATCTAATAGGCAGAGGGGATAAATTTTTAAAGAAAAAAAAAAGTGATTACTGAATAACCTAACTGCAGTATAGTAAACTCCTTTCTGATACGTACTGAGGTAAGTGGTTGGCACAAGAAAATTATATCTGTATGAGTATCTTGTATATCTGAATTGGTTTGAAATATTTCCATCTGATCAACAACAAATAATAATAATAATGACAGTAAAATTCTGCTAGCTTGCAGGATGAATTTCCTCCTACATACTTTCCTTTTAATGTCTGCATTATTTCTAACAGTTTTCCTTTGGACACAACATTTTTTACTCTCTGTTGAATTTCCCACAAAAATGATTCCATGACATGACGAAATGGAAGTGAAGCAAACTAATCTTAAAGCTTCTATTTTCATGAGCAATGTGATTGCCCTCATAGCAAAGCATGATAAACTAAGTTTAGGGATAATATACTCAATATGTTTTCTTACAATTTAAGTTACTCTCAGTTTGAAGGTCAAGGAATTTAGTTATATCTACCTCTTCAGTTCTGTTAATATACCCTATAGTAAAAAGTAAAAAAAAAGTAAAGGTATCCCTGTAACAGGCCATGGAGGCCCAAAGGGTTGTAAGATGTTGAGGTTTCCACATTTTCTAGACAATCGGCTCATAGATGGTGGTAAGGTTGTCAGCCTTACATGCCAGCCACCCTTTACCCCCAAGAACATTCCAGGAATATTCCTGGTACTCATTTCTGTTAGAGGCTGACTCAACCCCAGGGCCATAGTGCAGCTGGAAGGATTAGGTAAATTGAAAAAAATCCAATGACCTCATCGGGATTCTGTCCCGTGACCTTCCAGCTTGTAGCATAGTCCCTCAACCAACTACTATTTAAATTAATAGAAGTAGAATAGAAGTAGTACAAAATTGCATGACATTTGTTTTATCAAAACTTAATGTAAGCAGCTTGGCTTTAAACCATTTTTTTGAGCTAGCAAAGCCATAATTCATGCAACTTTGGAAGAGTCAATTTCTGGATGTAAAATAATAATAGTATCATCAGCAGAGTATGGGTTCAGACTGTAAGTTCATGGCTGTGGGAAAATCATATACAGGGTGTCCCAGGAGGAATGTGCCATACTTCGGGAGGGTGTTCCTTATGTTAAAGTATGCCGATATAACCCAAAACACTTATGTCCAAAGTTGAACGGTTACGGAGATAATGGCCCGAGAAGTGTCAAACTTTGACCGGGGTTACACACTTGTTGATTACAAAATACATATTAAAACTGGCAGGAATATGTGGATTCTGTAATGTTAATAATGTACGTAACATCAAACCAACTTGTGAGTGACGGAAAGCCATAAAATTGAAGTACAAAATACTCGCTCGCCATGTCATAATTGTCCTTAGGTTTCCAAGCAGTATACATAACACATGACTGGCGAGCGATGNTGAAGGTATGATTTAAACCACTGCCCAACTATACCTTGAAATCCATAAAACATAATTCTAACAGTAGCATTTCATAATTTACACAATCAAATGCTTTAGCAAGATCACAAGATAGTATGGCTTCTTAATACTGATTCCCAATTTTCATCATGTAGGTGTGTTTTAAATTCTTTAACAGTGCCATTACTTGTAAGTCCAGTACCCTTCTTATAATTATGAAAATTGTGTATTTCTTATGATCAAAAATTGAATATCATGATAAAATATTTCATTCATCTCTGTTCATTCTGGTCCATCACACTAGTAAACTAAATTATAGAATAATAATTGTTAACACTGTCCAGTGTGATTCAATTTGTAGATATTATTGCCTTTACATGTTTCAGTCGGCTGACCATCAACATGTTGAGAAACTACTATTACAAATTTTGTAACACATAGAAGTTTTTATATTAAATTCTTAAACTGATATGGTTTGTGTCCTTGTGCCTCTTCTGTTAAAATGGAATAATGGGGTGTTATTCAGAGTATATATTTGTTACCATATATTCATCCCCAAGGATTTGATGAAGATGTTCATGTAATCCTCTACTATAACTAGAAGCAGTCCCTTCTTACAGTTCATTTTGTTAACCACAGGTTTTAGATTCTCCTTTTGCTTGAACTGAACAACTCCTGACATACTCAAAGCATCAAATTTGGTGCTCAGTTTCATACTAAAGTTTGAATCCTTGATCAAGCAATGATTTTTGTTCCTGTGTCGTGATTTCGCCTTAACTTCAGTCCGATATGTGGAGGAAGAGTTTTCAGCTTTCAAATCATGTTACAAAGCCAACTCCCATCACAGATCCAAATTAGTTTCCTTCGCTTTCCTACCTATCCTAGCCTATCTGCATGTCAAGCAGAACCATGGCTTACTTATATCTACACCACTATTGTGGTGTCAGCACACTCCCAATAGATAATTTTATTGACAATAATTGTCTTGAAAATAACCAGAAATCAATATTAAAAAAGAAGGAATTATAGGAAAACCCAAGTTAATACAATGTCAGTGATAAAACACAGATATCAAAAGACAGACATCAAGTGCAGCAAAGTTGTAACTCATTTCCTGTGAAGAAACAGTTCCACAGATACACCTGGATTATTCACTTCCGTGAGCTGTGGCCCCTTAAAAGCAAACCAGTCTTTGTCCGAATGTAAACTAAGACAACACACATACTTGTTATAGGAAGTTTGTTTGAAGATCAGTAATAATTTAATTGTAATTCCACGAATGAACTAACTAAACCAACCAACCACCCAACCAAGTAACTAACTCCATGGGGCTGAATTCTTCTTGAGAAGCCACTAGTTGCTCAGCTACTAAAGACTGTGCCAACATTTTATGGAACCCAAAGATTCATTACCATGTTCATAAATGCCTGCCAGTGGTCCCTAACCTAGACAGATGTATTTCTCTAATATCCATCTAAATATTATCCGCCCACTTACATGGATTCTTTGTAATGGTCTCTTTCCCACCAAAACTTTACACACATTAATTGTCAATAGACTAATTGTCAATAGATTGTCAATAGTGATTGATAGTGTAACGGACCAAAATGAAACAATTCAAAATATTTACACACATTCTTCTTTGACTCCATGCATGCTACATGCCCTACCCAGTTCACTGACTTCTTCGTTCTAATTATATTTGGCAAAGAGTAAATGTAATGAAGTCCCTCATTATGCAGTTTTCTTCAACCTCCTATTGTTGCATCTGTCTTCAGTCCAAATATTCTCCTC